TCTATGTATTATTATTATATGCTTATAACATTCATATAATTTTAGGTATCTAGAGAGTATTACGTAATTTTGATATTTTTAAGTGAAATGCCGTTGAATAATGTAGAAGCCACGATTGAAAACTATCTGACGTATTATCGATGTAATACTTGCTTCGATACATTAGAAATTTACCAAACTGGCGTAGAAGAATGATACCTACGGTATATTTTGACAGTATATAGTATATATTACAATTGTTTTTGATTTACTCTTGAAGTATAAACCATAGAATATAATTATACATAACTTGAAATACATTAATTGTTTAAAATATATATTTTTGACATTCAGTCTTATTAATTTATCAATTTAGCTTCTATTTTTCGCTATGTTTTTCCACATATAATTTCAAATTAGTAAAATAGGAACATCAATAACAATTTTCGTTCACATTCATTACAATATTATAAAAACCGAAAAGTAACATTATTAACTTCTTAATATCAAAGTTGCCAAAGAAATGTCTGTGTTCTAGCTGTTTTTTTAAGAAGATTTGTAGTTGTCACCACACATTACAGTGAGAAATATGTAGTTGAACTGAATAACTTTTGTAAGGAAAACCAAAGTGTATATTTGTCAACAGGAATCGTGTCCCATGGCACATTCACAACGGAGAAACTTCGCTCTTCTAGATAAGTGTGAGAAGAACAATATTTTTGGTCGCGCACCGAACCGTGCGTAATTCAATAGAAAATATTCATATTGGGGACAACGCGCTAGACCCTGCCTGTCTACAGGATGTGCCTTTGTATTAAGTACTATTTTGTGTACAAAGAACATTGAGATTTATTTATATTTTTTTAAAATAAGAAAGTCGTATACTAAGATACGTTTTTAAGTGATTAGAAAAAAGATAAAAGCGGTGTTTAATAGCAATTAAAACTATACCTCGTTAAACAATATAATTATGAACTTTAAAATTATATAATTAAGTTGAATAATGTTTCATAAATCATAATAAATTAGCCAACATTATATGATAAAAAAAAATCAAAATATTTAAATTTCACTTTAATTGGGTACGGATTTGTAAACTGTATCAAATTACAATAGTATTAACATTAAAGCTGAACGTTCACTATGTACGCAACAGACTTGTAATTGAATTGTACAGATTTACCGATGTCATACGTCCACTGCATCCATATTTGTAATAGAACACTTCTTGTCAGTTTTGAGGTAACGCTGCTCAGTATAAAATATAAAGTGACTCTACGTAAATAATCCGTATGAAGACATAACAGTCTCTAGCGACGTACTATACTAAGAGAAAAAGAATGCAATGTATAATGCGTGCGTGTTGGTGCGGCCAAAGTGCGGCTGGTACTGATTGTGGACGGAGTGCTACTCAGCTTCATGCAAGCTAGGAAAAAGTCGCTCGCGTACCATGTATCCATTGTGTTCTTGTAGACACAGAGGACGGTCACCTTTACGCAAATAATTTTATTTATTATGGTGATTGGATAATATTATTTAATTACTTATATGATCATGATAGTTTTGAACTAAGTTGCCAGTTATATTGAATTGGAACAAATTTTTGTTGCAGTCGTTCGTAAGATCTGTGTGCAAGAATCTCCTCACGCATTAGACAAACATTTTTCATGTATATCTGACAAAATTTTAGTCGAAATTTATTATTCAGAAAGCTATATCTAATATTTCTATTAGAAAAAAATAACTATTTCTTAAACAACATCCTGTTTTAAGGCGAGTGTTTGCAGACGTTGGCAAGTGATGACGAATGTGGCTGGAACAGTGCGGACGCCTGCTGTACATACCTGCACTACTGGTCAGAACGAATATATTGTTACAGAACAACAGACAGTTTGCTTTCATATAGATGTGTAGATAACAATTAATATAGCAACGCAATTGATTGAAGAAACTATTTATCTATCTACTTATATGTTTTAGTCAAATGATTAAAATAAGTAAATTACCTAATAAATTTTCTTAATTATACTTAGTGAAATGTGTGTATTGTACTAGTACCGAATTCCATTCAAGTGAGATATCTAACTCGATTCTTTTTAAATCGTCTTTTTAAATTAAATTTGTTTGATATAATACCTGTTTGGGAGGAGGTCAATGGAGGTAGTAAGCGTGATTGGCTTTGCTAGTAATAGAATGGGTGACAAAAAATATTATTTTGTGCGCCTTCGTTAGTATCTTGTCGCACTGGGTCCCATATGCGATTTTATCCGTACCTATATAGTGGATCATAATGTAATCATATTATAAGATACGGAAACATAAATGTCAAAAATTAATCAATTATGAAAGAATAAAAACATATTCATGGATTAAAACAAAAAAAAGGTTCCTATAGCCTGTCCATGGCTTTAAGTTAGATGGCCGACCCTTAGCTGGAAATATAGAGCTTTATAGTATTATTCATTAAAATGTTCTTATAGCTATCGATCTGTCCATGGCTTTAAGTTAGGTGGCCGACCTAATATAGAGTTTTATAGCATTATTCATTAAAAGTAATTAAAGTTATTATATTTAACAAATTTTGCCTCCACATTGCTATACTATTATTATATATATACATTTCCCAATCCAGGCGACTGCTCGTGCTCTAACTACTGAGCTACCCAGGACCTAACAGGACTGCCGAATTTTTTCGAGTCACATCTCCGAGTACCTGGGTCTGGTGTATTTTTAAGGCATCTTTCATTATGAATAATTAAAGTCAGAAATTCTTTTGTTTCCCTCACACGGTTTCTCTTATACCAACCTCTATTTTATACTGTCATGATTCCTAAATTATCAAATAAATATTATCATTACATTAATGATGTCCCCTTCGCGATCCAACTCTTCCCATGCCGATTCACCACGGCCGTCCGTCAAACGTACCGAACTAACCTACATTCGTTCTCCATACACCCACGACGTATTTAGTATGGGAACAGATTTGTTCGCAAAGACATCGGTCACAGTGATTTTATACGCTCCGTCTCATAGGGGATCACCGAAATCGAAGCGTTAATTACGTTAACGTGCTTCACTAATGTGTAATGTAATTATTTTCGCTGTCAGAGTTTTACAGTGCTACTTATAAACAAGGTTTGGCGTCAGAGTAAATTTACGCTAAAATTGCAGTTTTAGTATTAGTCCATATTCATATTATACAGAGAATAAGCAAATCTACTACTCTCTAGGAGCAAATATTACTTAGAACCTCGTTGGTTAACCTTCGTTAAGTCTCTGTTTAATAATACGAATTTTGACTAATACGAAGAGCAGTCTCAGCGTAAATTTACTCAAACGCTAAACCTTGTTTATAAATGGCACTGTTAGGATTCATCCATAGATATTGTTTTATCAGATATGAATTGCATAGTAGAAAATTGTGCTAAAAGTTGATAAATACTTATGCTGTTACATTATAAACTGTGATTGGTTTAGATCAGGTTTGATTAAAGTTATTTTAATTTTTTTTGTAAGATTATAAACTGGCGATGTTTACAATTTACATTGGTCTTTTCTCTCAGTTGGCATGTTGCTGTTACAAATTAATAAGAGCTCACTATCTTGTATAGATATATAGACATCAATAAATACGCATAATGTTCACAAAAAATAATAAGATTTCACTATAAATTAATAAATAAATACCAATAAATATATTTCGATATCTACTATCGCTAAAATCAAAAACCCCGAACTTATTAAATTGCCATGCCAACCGACCGATGCCATGGATAACAAACAGTGAAACTAAACTATCGTATGCAATATAAATAAAAATTACATCCGATATGCTTATATAGAACAAAGTTCATGTAAAACCTCATATAAGTTATTAAAGTAATAATTTCTAATTTATTTTTTTAGATTTCATCGATACCTTAAATTAAAAATTCCAATGGCGAATCTACATAAGTGACAACAGTATGAATTGATCCTTACGAAACTAGAGATGCTAAATATTTATAAGTATTAACTTATATTGAGCAGGTTTGAGCTCGTGAAATTTAAAATTGTATTAAATTGTAATAAAACCAGCTTTTTAAACGTTTCTGATATAAATACTTATTATATTAAAAGATTAGCATAGTTAAGTGAAAATAATTCACAAGTTTATTGTTTACCCTAGCGAAATGTCGTCAGGCAATTAATGTTGCATAAATAAATATGATATGATGAGGTAGACATGTGGATAAAAACAAAAGGATAAAAATCCCTCCAAATAAAAGAATTAAAAAAGATGTTAATTACTAAATATGTCACTTTTCAATAGAAATATTTAACGTACTTTCTAAATTCAGTTTTATATTCAAGGAATATAATTTAAAGCAGGCATATTTTTAAATGTATCAAAAATAAAATTTAATAATTTTTGATATTTCTCAGTATGTATATTATTCCCAAGTATTTGTTACTAAATTTATATATATATATATTATTATTATAATGTCTTTTCTAATGTTATTATATTTAATAGAGACACTAAATTGTACACAATGACTTTATCGTTCACCCTAATATCTGATTCGTCATACTACGCCACGTTAGTGTTTGTGTCATTGACAAAATAGGGATCTGTATCAATGAAAACTAAATAAATATATTCACCAGTATCTAAAGAACTTTCCAGTAAGTCATTGTTAAAAAAAAAACATATGTACACTTCACCGAAAATTTCAATTTCCAATTCTCTATCATAGCACCTACAATCTTCAAACTTCAAGAGAAATTAAAATGTTATAAAAAGGTATGAAAGATAAAAAGTTATGTTTGATGTGATTTATTAATTGTCAGCTACTGATATAATAATATTTTATTTACAAAATAAATACTTAATAACTAATATTGCACATAGAGAATATACTTAATTAACAACAATATCAACCAATTTGAAAACAGGAATGGGATTTAAATTAGACACAGTCGTAAATTTTACTATGGTATCTCCGTAAACGTTTAGAAGTATTTGCATAAACAATTCATTTGTGGATGAGCGGGTTCCCGTTGTGGGGATAATATTGCTTGCTTTTCTTATTGAAATTTTGCGTTGGGGACACATCATCCATGTCCCCTTCCTTATCCTGATGGGCTGTCATGTGTCGTGTTAAATGGTGCCGCTCTCTGAAGCTTTCGTTGCAGACAGGACATTTTAATTTCTCTTCCCTCTTTCTTCTGTTAGGGTCAGCAGTTGATTCACTTTTATGATGAGTGCGCATATGATAAACTAAATCTGATGTCATCCTAAAACTGACGCTACATTTGGCGCAAACATTTTGGGCTGGTAATGAAAAAGCAGCAAGAGTCGGGGGCAGCAATGTACTTAATATAGCCGCGGCTGGATTTGCTATGAGTGGGCTTACAGGTTCACGTGGTTGCACGGGAAATTTCATAAAATCTGAATTAGGAGATTGAAAATTTTGTACTCCAAACGGATAAGATGAGCCGGCTTGAAGATATGGTATTTCTGGTCTAAATGGAAGAAAGTTCAGTTTATTCTGTGATATTTTTGGATCAGATTTTTCATTATAATCTACACTCTTGTTAAAATGGCTTCTTTGCTGAATTGTACCTGGTTCTGGATAATTTGGAGACGTCGATGGTACGCTATGACTTTTAAAGAAATTATTTCCATTAAGAAGATGAGCTGGTGTGAGTAAATTATTGAATCCAGCGTTTTTATTAAAGGGCCCTGATGGTGGACTTGCAGCTGCTAAGGGAGGACTCACCGAATTTTGGTATAGCAAATTGTCAGGACTCACAGATGGGTTCGGTGATCGTAGAGCATAATTAGCAACTTTCGTAAATGCACTTTTTGGAGACATTTCTGGTGGTTTATCAGAGTACCTGTTTTCATATCTCGCTCTAGACTGCATGCTGATTAAAGTTGGATCGTCAAATATCTTATTCTTGTACTCTGGAAGAAATTTTGGTTGTCTAGCAGCACTTTCGTTTGAATTAGGACGACTTCTTGATCGCTCAGAATTTTCTGAATCACTACAGTACATGGACTTGCTTGGATACTCATCAGTTCCAACGTCAATATTAATATCTGATCCGAAACCTGGAGACATGTTGTTGTTCACTCGGATTCTATCATCATCTTGGTCTTTGGAGTCCATTGTATTGTCGTTTGAATATTCACTGTGTTTGTAAATTTCCGGAATCCTCTTACTTTGTTGCTCCCATTCTTCATTATTAAATAGTTGCTTGGATACCCGCAATTGTCTTTCAGGTTGTTTTGGTCGAAGTTTTTCATCCGGCATCATTAAAAAAGCTACATCAAAAGATCTCTTATTAGACGTCTTTCCTGTATTCTCGACTGTAGAGTGCATATCTGATTTGTGAGTTTGAGATGTTTTCGCACTTTCAATGCTTAAACTAGTTTCCTTAGAATCAGGCGATGCTTCTTTATAATTTTGATAATTATTTTGAATGTCCATTGTCATTGTTTCTTCATTTAATTTAACTAGCACAATCAAAAACTTTCTACACTTTTATCGCAATGGGAGAGCAAAGACGCGTGCGTTCTACCCGGCAGTTAAACGTTGAATAAGAGGGTAACATAAGGGTGGAAAATATATAAGTGGGGTTTTGATCTACCCTTAACAGAGCTTTTGAAGTTGAGGGGCGTGGTCGGCTCGACGAATGAGCGTGGAGCGGGAGGCGTTAAGGCGGTTCGTCGGCCAATGGGAAAACTTTACGTCGATGGAGAGCAGGAGAGCTCAATCACCGGGTCAAGATAATAATAACTGCTGCGAATTGAGAGCGCATTGAGCTGTGGTAGGGTCAGCTCGACAATGATATTGAAATCTTTGACTCTCCTTGCATTGTGTAACGTTGGCAATGAACATACCTATAATTCACTCAATTATTATTGTAAATTTATTAAAAAAACGAATATTTACATTATTTTTTAATATATCTAAAAATGGATACTATTATGCGTTAATTAAGCGACAAGAAATTCGGTGAACAAAAGAATTATATTTTTAATAAAAGATGATTATAAAAAATTAAGTCTTATTGAATGATAACCTTGGACACATTTTTTTAATAGTATTAGAAATTGTTTGTATTTTATTTCTACTTTGCTGAAAAATACAATTATATTATCGTATTGTCTTCATAATATCAGAAAAAAAAGCGTCAAACTTTGTTTCACTAAGAAAACTTTTCCCGCAATTATTTTTTATTATATCCCATCCAAACATAGCGGTAGAAAAACTCCGCCGATTATGAATGCAATAAATATGTTTTATATGTCGCATAAAAAATGATACTTCTCCCATAGTGGGCCTAACCCCCGAGTGTATGGATGAGATTGCGAATAATGCTATTAACACAGACGCTTCTTCTCAAATTGATATCCTACTCAGAACCCAAGCAAAGAAATTTGAACACAAAATAGAAGAAAATACGGTCTAGTTCTATTTAGATGATTGTATGGCTAATACGGCACGTATTGCTGACGGAAATCCAACCTTAGTTAGAACAACCGAAGGAATAGGATTGGATGAAGATATTTTTATAGATAAGTAAAAAGAAGACTCAAATGAGTTCTGTTTGGTAGTCAGTAACGATAATAAGATAGGTCCAGACGTTAAAGGAAAGCCATTTGTCAGATTTTAGCCATTTTTTCGCCATTCGTTCGCACTCCATGAAAATCTGTTCCATTTATTTTTGGGGTTTACTAATGAGATTTTGAAACGAATGTTTTTGTTTTTAATTACTGAATCATTTGATGCCTTTTTTATTGAGTTACAGATTTTAGTAGGGTCAAATAATAATTTCAATAATTATATGAAGACGGGATATTATTGCTTTTCTTATATAATTTACCAAAAATGTTAAAAAGAATATTTTTATCATACCTAGAATTTTCCCTGCCCAATATTTTGTCTTGTTGACTTACAACAGATTAACAATTTCTAAAAGTAGCTTTTCTTTCGACTTTTTTTAAAATTTTATAAAATATCTCACATAAAAATACACGATCATTTGACAGAATTAGAATTAATTGATTTAGGTTCTGATTTCTGATGTATCCGTTAATTTTACGTTGAAGGGATGATTAGGTTCGTTAATTAGTTCTTATTAATCCATATTAAGTGCTATTTCATCATTTCGCTCTCCATGTAGACCATAGTTAATGCTTTTCGCAAATTTTATTAGTTTTATTACTCATACACGAAGCAATTTCAGACAGCTAAGCCAAAAAAGTAGGTTACACGAACTTTACCGACGACTAACTTGTGCTTTCACATATTTTTTTTGCTCGCCCACGGTCGGTCATTTGTCATGTCTTTGGCATAAAAGAGAGTCATAACTTTGGTACTGTGGTATTTTTTATTGTAACAAGAATGCCTCTTCACGTTTTATTGTTCGATTTTTACATAACAGCTTCTGCGATGATTTTGTGATTTCTTCTCATGTTATATGAAGTTTTTATATGAATAGTAATTGCATTTAGAAAATGGATGTTTAGAAAATAGATTTGTGTTTTATTAAATAACTAGAAGAGTTGCTTTATGATACAAAATATTTTGCTATTTTGAACTTTTTAAAATAGCAAAATATTTTGCTATTTTAAAAAGTTTCTTTTCTTTTTAATTAATGGATTTTATAAATTTTACAATATAATGACCGCATATGATAAAAAAATAACATCTACAGACACAGATTTTACTAAGTTGATATAAATTGGAAGTCAAAAACAAATCGACTAAATAGTGACCAGGAAAAACTCCAGTTTGCTTCGGATAGCTTTTCATCAACCAGCAAAACGAATTTTCCACATTAGAATGATCGTTTAAATACGGGTTTGGTACCTTTCTTGAGTTTTCTCCTTTAGCGGGTGGGTGTTATCATCGGCTGATATATCGATCTCCCATTTTCAAGTCCTTTTACGTTCGATAATAGTCCGGGTATCGAACTTAAAAGAAAGTTAATGACCATGAAAGTTACCAACACATTATAAACAAACTATATTTGCGTTTGAATCATCCTTTTTCCTGTTGTACGAGTATATGCTTGTTTGCTAGATTCAGAGACACGATCAACTTGTCTCGCGATGGTAGCTTCATCGATCAATTGAAACGAGTCGATTACCCCACTGATGTCACCGGAACATTTGTCGCCTCACTTAATAAGATGTCACGTCTCTTGTCACCAGATTGATGGGTCTCCAGAGACAACTGAGCTGAAATTTGATAAAGGTTTTTCAACTCTTTCTTGTAACTAATCTCGTTTTCTTTAATTGAATGCATGACGATGTATTTTTTGGTAGTTTTAAAAGTAGCTACTTTATCAAATATTTATAATACGGTATTTAGTAGGGGTTAAGTCATGATTGAGAATTATTAAGTTGAATCCGATTAGACATAAAAAAGAAAGAAAGAATATAACAAAAACACATATGTAGTTTATAAAACATACTTAAAGAATAGAGTTGATAAATCGATATTTCATTGAAAATGTATTTTAACTCTATCGATTAGGGCGTTGCACTGTCATGTTAAAGGTGTTAATTTTATTACACAATTTTATTCAGTATATATTGTTTTTTCTAGATTTTTATTGGTTATCTTGTGACGAATTGATCATAGAAATATCAGTTTGACAAAATTGTTAGTTAGACTATAATTTTGAATTAAAAAGAAATCTTCCTAAAGTAAAAATACAACAATTCTACTTGGCACACGCAGGATTTCGAGATAATGAATTTGCGTCAGTCATCTTATGACCGGCCCTTACGAAAGGTGCTTGACTTCCGCATAATAGGCCGAACGTGTAAACCATTGAAATTTAATATCTTGTAATTCTAAATTAAAACAACAATCACGATTAAGTAGCAACTTACAATATTTACTATAATATCGATATATCCGTAACTACATTACATACAAATAACAACATTCATTAGTAAAGTAGTTAATAATAAACTATTTCAAACAAAAGTATTATATAATGACATTTGTTCCTTTCTTTCATTGGTCGGTCATTTATTGACCAATAAATTAACGCACGGAGGTCACGTAAATACGGCACAAGTTCTACTAATTTTTAAGATAGAAAATTTTGAGTTAAAACGACTTTGATTGCATTTTTTAAATCTTATTCCTCATAAATATTCCATAAGTGGCGATTTTTTATAAGTTGTTAGATAAGTAATGAGCGACACACGACACATTTTGCAGGGCACGCGACAGCCATTGACACAATCAGAGGGGACGTGTTACAGCTTACTCAACACTATTAACTTTAAAAAGAACCTTAAATGAATAGACATAAAAACTAAGCTTTAAGTCAAACTGCTTAATGGTGTTTTGAACAAGAATTATCTTTAAAAAAAGTCTATGCTTTTTTTGTATATAATTATAATAATTATTAATTATTAAAGAATTTTAAATGTATGCTATTTTTGCTTACATTATTATTGATTGTTTTAACAATGCTGTATATAAAATCTTAAACACTTGAAAAAATAAAGCCGTAAGAGTTCATTGAGACGTCCGGCCTGATATCTGAGACAACTTTTTAAGGTTTTCAAGGAAAATTGAATAATTTTCTAAGTCATAAAATGTCTCATATATTTTAAAATTTTCTCTATTACAAAGGATTTTAATAACTAGAAGAAATGAGAAAATGATAAATTATAAGGGTAACTTTGTGATTCATTTCTCACAGGATAATTCTATAAATTCTTATTACATAGCCCTTAGAAACATGATTAAGTTTTGAATTACACATTTACATTTAAATCCACGCTCATCATGTAGATGGTTGGAAGTCCTCAACTGTACGTTTTTCTAGAAGTTTTCTGCCTCGCATAGCCAAACTCTGGAACAGTCGTCAGCGGTATTTCCGGACGACCTTCAAACTTTGAAGCGTAGCGTATATTTGTCCCTCAAAGGTCGGCAGCGCGCTTGTAGCTCCTCTGGTGTTGCAGGTGTCCATGGGCGGCGGTAATCACTCACCATCAGGTGATCCGTCTGCTCGACTGCCCCCTATTCCATAAAAAAAAACTAATTATATTATTTACTCATTTCTTTATACGATTTATCTGAAAATTATTTCTTAGTACAGTAAAAGATCTGGACCTCAAAATAGAAAATTTTGTGTTACCCATCCAAAGACCGGAATTAATGATAGTCGCTTAATATTCGCAATCGGAGACCAAATAGCTAATCACTGCGGTATTGGGCTACTCTGTTATCATTTTAGCCCTTCAGTCGCATATAAAAAAAATATTACGTAGTATTATTACTTATTAAGTATTATTAGTATTTTTCGGGTATAGCATTACAAATGAAGTAAAGTCCAACACCTCACAAAATATATTTTTTTTAGAAAACCAAACACTAATTTAAAAAATATCCTAATGTAAATGCTTCATTTATTTCCTAGGAATTAGACCAATCTGAAAGTATATCCTGTAAATAATTCT